TTAGGCTACTGCCTCGCATATTTGACACTCCGGGCACCAGGCGACCACGGCGCGCGTTGCTTCCCGGGACGCCGTGACAGTATTGAGATCTGTGATATTTGTATTGTCCATGAAATTTCTCTGCAATTTTGTTGCAGGTACCGTCCCCAGTGGTACCTGCCATTGCCCTCTGTTAGCCGTGAGTATAACTACGTTGTCCGCATCCCACCATGAGGGATTTCGGTCCGCTATAACGCCCTGCAAACCATAGCACTTTCGTCCTCGTATACAAAACCACTATCCCACGACTTAGATTCTACTGTGCTAGGATTCAGTACAAGTCGTATTCGATTAGCGTTAAAGCATCACCCATTATTTGTGCCACATTCTCACGTGTCCATGCAGCCTGCATACATAATGAGCCTACGCGCCGTGGTTTGTTCGTTGTAATAGAGGATGGCCGTTTTCACTAAATGGAGCTTAGGATTTGGATCCAAAGGTGGACCATTTTTGGATCGTGCTAAGGTAAATATTGAGGTATTCGGGTGGGTTTCCCGCTGACTGTGAGTGTGTTACAAAGAGAGGGCAAACTAGCGTGATTTTCACACAGCTGTTGTTATTGGACAGGAGTGCCCTCTAAAAAGGTGCGTTGGACCAATACGCGGGAACTAGATCCAGACTCGACAGGCGTTATTGTGGATGCGCACTCGAAACGAATGCTGTACACGGAGTCGTGACGGCACGCCCAGGTGTAGCTACTTCTTTATGAGAAATCAGGTTTTACTCAAATCACCCATCCAAATTTTATAATGGTTGGCTGACTATCTTCACCTGCTCTTAAGGTCTTAAAACATATGATGCCTATTTTGCCTGAAGCGAGTGTATGTAGCTCTGAATGTCATTTCTTCTGCTCATTTTGTAGGGAAACCGGTGCCTAATAGGGCAACTTTGTACTGTTTATGTATTCGTTTCAGCGAGTGATATTTTCACACCCGGTCTGAAGGGTCGCATTAAAAAGTCAGCATTCTGACATGACCCAAATATCTTAGAATTATCCTGTATTGTACACAGTCTCACAATCCTATGGCAGTACTCCTTTCAAACTGAGGTCATATTTCATGATTTCGAGTACTTTTTCATAAGTAGGCTACTTACTGTTTTTTTCCTCTAAGGCAGATTCACATGACCTTAAGTGTTTCGCCACAAAGCGGCTTCTCTGTGCTCCTATAATACCGCAGTAAAGGGGAATTGCGTTATCTGAAGATAGTAAGCTACAGTAGTAAACATGGAAGATCGAAACCTTCAGGATCGCTAATTGGGGTCGGGGGCCACACAGACCCTGATGCAACTGGATCCCCTCCTCTTCCCCTCACTCTACTACTACTACTTCTCTTTTTGATGTGCTTAATAGGCGTCAAGTGTCCGTTGGATTAAGTGCAAATCAGGCCGTCTGTGTTCAATCCCTCTCGAAGATTCCTTGTATGCCCAAGAAGCAACACTTTACACTCATTGCTCCACTGTTTTTGTTCCCATCCACCTATCCACCCCCTCCCCCGATTCTGCTTTTAGGCCTTGAAAGTGGTGCGCGCCTGAAGTTGAGCTTGCGAGACCAGACGAAGAAGCAGCAGCCGAAGACGCCAGTGGAGGCGGCACCAGCTCCGGCAGTTCAGCCAAGGAGCCAGTGGGCCGAAGTCTCGCTGGAGGAAGAGCAGCAGTCGGCACAGGTTTTTGTCCGCTCCAACGACAGC